CTAGTTTTATTCCCGTGCTATGCATGGTTAGGATGTTCGTATTATATATACATTTGACTAAACTAAAACAAATATTTTTAAATATATTCTCTACSATMAAAATATAGTGTATGTTATTTTGAAGGCTATTATTTTGAATATGAACGAAAAATAAAATTCGTTATTTTATTTTAATGTAATATTGATTTTCAAACAAATGAAAATCATTAAATACCAAAAAGAATTTGAGGGAATCAAATCTCTTTAAAAGAACAAATTGATTAATGTTATTATTTTTAGATATTTCGACATTAGAATATGTTTTCTAATTTACATTAAACTTATTTTTATCTATTAAATTATAATTTAACATGACGAAATTAAGTTATATTGAATCTTTTAGATAACAACATGAATAAAAACACACACTTTTTCTATGCAGAATGATAGATTTCTTGATTTTTTTTCACTCATTACATTCTTCACCACTCCACTCCTCCCTCCCATGCATACTTACGCGTTTATTGTATTCTTTTACTTTTTTGTCATTTTCAATGCTATATTCGTTTCTACATTTTTGTTTTCGAAAGAAGCTACTAAATATAATATCGATTCATTTCTATGAACATAAAAAGGAAAAAATGGAATACCAACCTAAGCCTTAGTTTTGATCGACACATGTGATATTTGTTAGCCTTTTGTTTCGTTGCCTTCTCGTTTCACCACATATTCCTTTCTTCTTCTTATTGCGTTCCTTAAGCTTGTTGCAGATATCCAGAAGAGCCAAAGTGAACAACAAAATCTAAGTAGATTACGAAAAAAATCAGGAAAGGAAAATGAGGATTTGATCATTGAAAAGTTTGAACGTTTTTGATTTCACTAACCTGTATTTTTAACCTTCAACTTCTCAATCTTTTTTTTTCGTTTCGTAGGCTTGTTGCCATTGTTTGGGCAGAGAGAATATATCTATGTGGCTTGAAATTTTGTAACATTTTAAGAAAAATTTGAAGAAACCATTGAAGAGAATTTAAGGATTTACAATTTCTGAAATGCAAGTTGAGATGAATATTCACCGTGTGTTAAATGTCTAAAGGAAGATTAACCGTTTCGAAAATCGTCAGATAGTGGCTTCAAATTTAGGGATTTCTTGAAGATTTTTTTTATATTTCATAGGAAAATAATTAAATAAAAATCATTTAATAAAAGGAAGTTCTTTTTCTCTTCAAAACTTTTTTCCTGTGTGTTGTTTTTAGTCCTTAAAATATCAACACACACGATCACTTTCTTTTTAATTCTTGAAGAAATTGTTTTTTTTTTGACAAAAACAAAGAAAAGAAATTGTTTTTTTAATTGTTAAAGAAAATGACACATGTTTTACATAATTGACTTGTGCTTTTATGATTTAGTATATTAAGGATATATAAAAATATTTTTGTTATTTATATTTTTGTTATTTATATTTTTCTGTTATTTGATAAGTGAAAAAAAGTTTCAAT